GTACACTGAGCCTAAAGCTAGCTGTATTGTGACTTACCACTGAGTAACAACATTGGGTACACTGAGCCTAAAGCTAGCTGTATTGTGACTTACCACTGAGTAACAACATTGGGTACACCGAGCCTAAAGTCAGCTGTACTGTGACTTATCACTGAGTAACAACATTGGGAACACTGAGCCTAAAGCCAGCTGTATTGTGACTTACCACTGAGTAACAACATTGGGTACACCGAGCCTAAAGCCAGTTGTATGGTGACTTACCACTGAGTAACAACATTGGGTACACAGAGCCTAAAGCCAGCTGTACTGTGACTTACCACTGAGTAACAACATTGCGTACACTGAGGCTAAAGCTAGCTGTACTGTGACTTACCACTGAGTAACAACATTGGGAACACTGAGCCTAAAGCCAGCTGTACTGTGACTTACCACTGAGTAACAACATTGCGTACACTGAGGCTAAAGCTAGCTGTACTGTGACTTACCACTGAGTTACAACCTTGGGTACACTGAGCCTAAAGCCAGCTGTATTGTTACTTACCACTGAGTAACAACATTGGGTACACTGAGCCTAAAACTAGCTGTACTGTGACTTACCAGTCAGTTACAACATTGGGTACACCGAGCCTAAAGCCAGTTGTATGGTGACTTACCACTGAGTAACAACATGAGGTACACCGAGCCTAAAGCCAGCTGTATGGGGACTTACCACTGAGTAACAACATTGGGTACACAGAACCTAAAGCTAGCTGTACTGTGACTTATCACTGGGTAACAACATTGGGTACACAGAGCCTAAAGCTAGCTGGACTGTGACTTATCACTGAGTAACAACATTGGGTACACTGAGCCTAAAGCTAGCTGTACTGTGACTTACCAGTGAGTTACAACATTGGGTACACCGAGCCTAAAGCCAGTTGTATGGTGACTTACCACTGAGTAACAACATGAGGTACACCGAGCCTAAAGCCAGCTGTATGGTGACTTACCACTGAGTAACAACATTGGGTACACCGAGCCTAAAGCCAACTGTATTGCAGAACTTTCTTCTTCACAAACAACAGATATGATCACACCTACAGTACAAAAAAAACACATTCATCTACAAGTTCAAGATAATAATCTTATTTTACAATTAGTTTAAAGATCGATCATCAATATTTATATAATCATTAATGAACGTAGTTAACTACAGTCACTCAATATAATTTGATTCATTTAAACAAGAAAATGATACTATAGGACAATATTCAAACATAAAAAAATCAAACATAAAAGATCAAACATAAAAGATCAAACATAAAAAAATCAAACATAAAAGATCAAACATAAAAAAATCAAACATAAAATATCAAGCAAACATAAAAGATCAAACATAAAAGATCAAACATAAAAAAAATAAACATTAAAAATTTAACATAAAAAAATCAACCATAAAAAAAATCAAACAAACATAAAAAATAAAAAATAAATAAAAAAAACATAAAAAAATCAAACAAACAAAAAGTGTTTATCTGGTACATTTTGTATTTGTTAAAAGTATGGAGTTGCTGCTTGAATTGTTTCTTTGTTATTATTTCCTGTGAATAATTTCATGACAAAAAATCATATAGTCTCAATCTAAGGAGAGAAGTACAAGTTACAAGTTGACATACCACAGAAGTACACATTGAACAGCGACCACCCAAGGGAAATTTAAAAAAGTGGTCGTTAAATAGAAATGGCTGTTTAATAAAGTTGGACAATAATTTTAACAGAATGACATGACTGGCTAATTAACCAGACGACTCCTTACCCAGACCAATGTTGATAGACCACCAGCCCAAGCACACCTTTACACTTGCTTATCTAGGTAGTTTAAAGCAATATCATACAATAGATCGGTTGAAAAACTGAACAATAGTTAGGTGTTAATAGGAACAGTAAACCAACCATTGAGAGTGATTGAGAAGAACTGTCATTTCATTCAGAACAAAGATCACCAGAGATTTGCTTAAGTTCTCAACTTACACAACTGTGTGTTTGGTAGTACAATAATTTACAATAATGTAACATAATTAAAACAAAATTATTATGCAAGACATTGTCGTTGAAATTATGGTGTTTCTTTTGGTCGTCCAACATTGGGTTCAGGTGTATTTTTTAAAATATATTTTACAATGGAAACTGGAAAGAGAGTGCAGTTTAAATCTGACCTAAATAAAGCTGACAGCACGTTGTTGAAAAAAACAACCCAGGTATTATTGTTGTTAGTACTTGTTGTTGAGAAGTTCAGGGCTGTAGTCAAAAGCATTTAACATAATATTGATGAGGAATAACAAACATGATGTGTTTTAACATGAATATGTTTAGTGCACAGTTGTACGTGCTGATAATAGTTATAAATTTCCCAAGAAAGTACTGTCCTGAACATCTCAACAGAGACCTGATATTATGAACAAGAACCTGCCAGTGTACGTCATCCAATCAGAAGGATACCATAGGGTTAAAGGTTACGTTGCCTAGCAGGACACTAACGCATTTAAAATGGTTCCACTGCACTACGATAAATCAACAATATCAGCCGTCAGAATAAATGACAATTTGGTGTCATGTCACATATATATTGATCATTGAATTTATGTTTAGCTGGATTATTTATTATGTCAAAGTTGTTCACTGAATTTTGTAAATGATCATTTAGAAGCCCTTCATCAAACTTTGTGATGGTTGCAAATTTAGACTCAAATAGCTATTTCATATGTTGTCAAAAACGATCGTTTGGTAAATTTCATCAAAATGGTCACTAAATCTGATCAAGTGTGGTCGCTGAGCATAATCTTTGGGCTCAGTAATGAGTGGTCGCTGATTGTGTTAGACAGATATGGTTGGTTAATACAGATAAATCATTTTAAAATGTTCGAGAGGAATGAAAAGATGTGGCATAAAACAGATGGTCGCTTGAGCAGATTTGCCTGTATATAGAGGAACTGTCATTCGTTTCCCTTCATATATATTAAATTTATGATTACAAGTTTTGGATGCGAGCAAATATGAAAAATCCAAACGAGTATCATAAATCTAATATGAAGGGAAACGAATGACAGATTCTTTTTATTATATAATGCAAAGTAAACTGTATATTTTCCACTTGACCGCCTCTGAAACGATAAAAATTGCGTCCGCTTCACAATGATGCGACATCACATTGATTGTTCCTATTCTGTTGTGGCGTTATTTCCGGAGTGACATTACACACGTTATATAAACATAATTTATGTGATGGGTTTATGACACTGCATAACATGGTATTCATATGATAAATAGCAATATCAAGTGTACATACCTAGAGTCATACCACAGAAGCCCTGTAACAACACCAGTATAATCACCCAGATCAGAGGGCCTTTGTAGGGGACCTGAAAATAAAACCAATCAAATGGAATTTCATCTTCATTCACTTGTCAACACAAACATTTTTAAAACAAGATGCCCAACTGGCCTTAACGCTCACGCTTTATATAAAGCAATCGTGTGAGCAAATTGAATTTTACATTGAGCCACTACAGACCTGACAACTAGATTTTAATGTAAAGTTGTTGTAACCTACATGGAAGACAAGCAGAGCAAACATCAGCAGGAGACCAACTTGAACTGTCATTACTAGTAGCTGTGTCCATACATGGGCCAGCATTATCTCAAATGGGGTCATCCCTGTCAACGAAAAACAAAATGGTGTCAATCCTTTCCCAAATGGGGTCATCCCTGTCAACAAAAAACAAAATGGTGTCAATCCTTTCCCAAATGGGGTCATCCCTGTCAACGAAAAACATAATGGTGTCAATCCTTTCTCAAATGGGGTCATCCCTGTCAACAAAAATCAAAATGGTGTCAATTAATCCTATCTCAGTTGTTTCAAAGGAACCAAGCTAGGTGTGGTTGGTACACTCCCCAAACCATTATACATCTGATCAAAATTTTGCACTGACAAAAAAAAGTATCATTACCAACTCTCTCTCAAATTGGTCATCTCCGTCAAAAAATAAACTAGGGTCATGAAATTCACAATTTTGGTTAAGTACCTTAAGATCCTTCTATTTATGAAGAGTATTTGATTCTACCATATCTGGGTCTTGAGAAGCAGATTTGAAATTTCAGTCTGAATTCAACCCTTTTTGGCCCAACCCATTAGCCCCTGGGGGTCAGTCAGGGCTGATATGTGCATACCATCAAACTGCTACCCAATACTGATAACGCTAACCCAAATTGAATTACTTCCAATGGAAATTAAACAAATGTTGGTCCAAAATGTGATTTCCCTATATAAACTATAGTAAAGTTTACCCCCTCCCAAGGGGGAAACCTGAGACCCCACGGTCAAGAAATTCACAATTTTGGTAAAGCACCTTAAGACCCTTCCATCTATGAAGAGTATTTGATTTTACCTTATCTGGGTCTTGAGAAGAAGATTTTTGAAATTTTTGTCAATTTTTGTTGACCTTTGGCCATGGAAGGTTTCTGCAAAATTTCATTGAAATTGGTTCAGGGGTTTTAAGAGAAGAAGTCGAAAATGTAAATTGTTTACGGACGCACGACGGACGACGACGGACAAAAAGCGAAGTCTCAGGTGACCTTAAAAATAATCAACCCTACCAAAAACCTAGAAAGGTACTGTATGGTTGTTTAGATGGACTACAAACACCACCCCATCATATAAACTTACAAGTACTTTGGTCCAGGTGAGAACAATATCAAACCTAAAAGTCAATTACATGACATTCTACCTAAATATCAGGCTGTCAGCTGGCTTCATGGTTCTATAGAGGAAGTTGTTTAAACACATTTAACACCTGTGACCTTAAAAGTGGGTCAGATTTATTGATTTAAACAAATTTTACGGCTCTTCACTGTAAAAAGCTATTGTTTTGATTGATTGATTGATTGATAGGTTTTACGTCCGCTTCACTACCGAGTATTTATCCAGCAGACGTAAGGCTATCGTGAAGACCACATGGTTTTATACTGTAAAAGACTTCCAAACACTTCTAGCCCCTACAATGTAAGAACTTGGTCAAAGGCATAATTTTATAATTAACAGAAAGGGTCAGCTTTGTCAACAAAAACCAGAACATTTTCTATTTACTTGTCAGAGACATTAGAAAAGAACATATCCAGCTGATAAAGGCAATATTACAAAACCCTGTACTTATATCCTTTCAGGGTTTGTGACTAAGACCTGTTAAAACCCTGTAATTATCCTTTCAGGTTTTGTGACTAAGTCCTGTTAAAACCCTGTAATTCTCCTTTCAGGGTTTGTGACTAAGTCCTGTTAAAACCCTGTAATTCTCCTTTCAGGGTTTGTGACTAAGGCCTGTATAAACCCTGTACTTATCCTTTCGGGGTTTGTGACTAAGACCTGTTAAAGCCCTGTAATTATCCTTTCAGGCTTTGTGGCCAAGACCTGTATAAACCCTGTAATTATCCTTACAGGGTTTGTGACTAAGACCTGTAAAAACCCTGTAATTATCCTTACAGGGTTTGTGACTAAGACCTGTATAATCCCTGTACTTATCCTTTCAGGGTTTGTGATTAAGACCTGTATAAACCCTGTAATTATCCTTACAGGGTTTGTGACTAAGACCTGTTAAAACACTGTAATTATCCTTTCAGGCTTTGTGACTAAGACCAGTTAAAATCCTGTACTTATCCTTTCGGCTTTGTGACCAAGACCTGTATAAACCCTGTACTTATCCTTTCAGGCTTTGTGACTAAGACCTGTTAAAATCCTGTACTTATCCTTTCAGGGTTTGTGACTAAGACCTGTATAAACCCTGTACTTATCCTTTCAGGCTTTGTGACTAAGACCTGTATAAACCCTGTACTTATCCTTTCAGGCTTTGTGACTAAGACCTGTATAAACCCTGTACTTATCCTTTCAGGCTTTGTGACTAAGACCTGTATAAACCCTGTACTTATCCTTTCAGGCTTTGTGACTAAGACCTGTATAAACCCTGTACTTATCCTTTCAGGCTTTGTGACTAAGACCTGTATAAACCCTGTACTTATCCTTTCAGGCTTTGTGACTAAGACCTGTATACCTGAAACAATGCTTCTCTCCAGTAGACCCTCCTTCTTCTCTACCACAAAGGCCAGGGTTGTCAAGCCAGTCGCCATGAAAAACGTAATACTGAAACGTAAAAACAATACTGCAGTGAGTACGTACACTCATGTTTAGGTACACGACGAGGTTATCAGTGTTAAACCTGATCAAATGTCAAAATACTACTCATGTTTAGGTACACAACGAGGTTATCAGTGTTAAACCTGATCAAATGTCAAAATAATACTCATGTTTAGGTACTCGACTAGGTTATCAGTGTTAAACCTGATCATATGTCAAAATAATACTCATGTTTAGGTACTCGTCGAGGTTATCAGTGTTAAACCTGATCATATGTCAAAATAATACTCATGTTTAGGTACTCGTTGAGGTTATCAGTGTTAAACCTGATCATATGTCAAAATACTTCTCATGTTTAGGTTCTCGACCAGGTTATCAGTGTTGCCGCTGATCAAATGTCAAAATAGTACTCATGTTTAGGTACTCGGCCAGGTTATCAGTGTTGCACCTGATCAAATGACACCATAATACTCATGTTTAGGTGCTCGACCAGGTTATCAGTGTTGACCCTGATCAAATGTCAAAATAATACTCATGTTTAGGTACTCAACGAGGTTATCAGTGTTAAACCTGATCGTATGTCAAAATAATACTCATGTTTAGGTACTCGACGAGGTTATCAGTGATAAACCTGATCAAATGTCAAAAGAATACCCATGTTTAGGTACTCAACGAGGTTATCAGTGCTAAACCTGATCGTATGTCAAAATAATTCTCATGTTTAGGTACTCGACGAAGTTATCAGTGTTAAACCTGATCGTATGTCAAAATAATTCTCATGTTTAGGTACTCGACCAAGTTATCAGTGTTGCACCTGATCAAATGTCAAAACAATACTCATGTTTAGGTACTCGACCAGGTTATCAGTGTTGCACCTGATCAAATGTCAAAATAATACTCATGTTTAGGTACTCGACCAGGTTACCAGTGTTAAACCTGATCAAATGTCAAAATAATACTCATGTTTAGGTACTCGACATGGTTACCAGTGTTAAACCTGATCAAATGTCAAAATACTACTCACGTTTAGGTACTCGACAAGGTTACCAGTGTTAAACCTGATCATTTGACGAAGTTTACCTGACATTATACCTGAAGATTTTACAGTGCTTACCTGAGTATGATGCCAGGTGCCATAAAGTTTGTGAAACTGGGATCTAAGCTGCCATATATTGGTTCTCCCAGCTGAAAATACATACAGCACTGGTATACGCAGACAGAAAATACACGGCACTGGTATACGTACAGACAGAAAATACACACAGCACTGGTATACGTACAGACAAACAGATCTAGAGTGCCTCTGTAATACATTATATACATTACCTTGACAGGTAGCTGTGCAATGTCAGGATTCAGACCTATCATTGTCAGTAGTGACCGGGAAAATGTCTCAAAGGCCTCGGCAACCGTCTGTTGGAGCATCACTGCTATTTGCTGGTCTACAGTTACAACAGAGGGGGGAAGATTAGAGACAGATATAGTTTTATTGTACTTACTGGTTATATCCAGATAGAGTTTTATTGTACTTACTGGTCATATCTAGATAGTGTTTTATTGTATACTTACTGGTCATATCCAGATAGAGTTTTATTGTACTTACTGGTCATATCCAGATAGAGTTTGATTGTACTTACTGGTCATATCCAGATAGAGTTTGATTGTACTTACTGGTCATATCCAGATAGAGTTTGATTGTACTTACTGGTCATATCCAGATAGAGTTTGATTGTACTTACTGGTCATATCCAGATAGAGTTTGATTGTACTTACTGGTCATATCCAGATAGAGTTTGATTGTACTTACTGGTCATATCCAGATAGAGTTTGATTGTACTTACTGGTCATATCCAGATAGAGTTTGATTGTACTTACTGGTCATATCCAGATAGAGTTTGATTGTACTTACTGGTCATATCCAGATAGAGTTTGATTGTACTTACTGGTCATATCCAGATAGAGTTTGATTGTACTTACTGGTCATATCCAGATAGAGTTTGATTGTACTTACTGGTCATATCCAGATAGAGTTTGATTGTACTTACTGGTCATATCCAGATAGAGTTTGATTGTACTTACTGGTCATATCCAGATAGAGTTTGATTGTACTTACTGGTCATATCCAGATAGAGTTTGATTGTACTTACTGGTCATATCCAGATAGAGTTTGATTGTACTTACTGGTCATATCCAGATAGAGTTTGATTGTACTTACTGGTCATATCCAGATAGAGTTTGATTGTACTTACTGGTCATATCCAGATAGAGTTTGATTGTACTTACTGGTCATATCCAGATAGAGTTTGATTGTACTTACTGGTCATATCCAGATAGAGTTTGATTGTACTTACTGGTCATATCCAGATAGAGTTTGATTGTACTTACTGGTCATATCCAGATAGAGTTTGATTGTACTTACTGGTCATATCCAGATAGAGTTTTATTGTATACTTACTGGTCATATCCAGATAGAGTTTATAGTACTTACTGGTCATATCCAGGTAGAGTTTATTGTATACTTACTGGTCATATCCAGATAGAGTTTGATTGTACTTACTGGTCATATCCAGACAGTTTTATTGTACTTACTGGTCATATCCAGATAGTTTTATTGTACTTGCTGGTTATATCCAGATAGAGTTTTATTGTTCTTACTGGTCATATCCAGATAGAGTTTTATTGTACTTACTGGTCATATCCAGATAGAGTTTTATTGTTCTTACTGGTCATATCCAGATAGAGTTTTATTGTTCTTACTGGTTATATCCAGATAGAGTTTTATTGTTCTTACTAGTCATATCCAGATAGAGTTTTATTGTATACTTACTGGTCATATCCAGATAAGAGTTTTATTGCATACTTACTGGTCATATCCAGATGGAGTTTATAGTACTTACTGGTCATATCGAGATAGAGTTTGATTGTACTTACTGGTCATATCTAGATAGTGTTTTATTGTATACTTACTGGTCATATCCAGATAAGAGTTTTATTGCATACTTACTGGTCATATCCAGATAGAGTTTATAGTACTTACTGGTCATATCCAGATAGAGTTTTATTGTATACTTACTAGTCATATCCAGATAGATTTTGATTGTACTTACTGGTCATACCCAGATAGAGTTTTATTGTTCTTACTGGTCATATCCAGATAGAGTTATATTGTACTTACTGGTCATATCTAGATAGAGTTTGATTGTACTGACTGGTCATCTCCAGATAGAGTTTTATTGTACCTCCGTCCAGTGTACTGTTGCTTTTACTGGTCATATCCAGATAGAGTTTATAGTACTTACTGGTCATATCGAGATAGAGTTTGATTGTACTTACTGGTCATATCCAGATAGAGTTTTATTGTACCTCCGTCCAGTGTACTGTTGCTTACATGGGAACTATTGCTAAATCTGTAAAGAAAAAAGAAAAAATCAAATTATGATCTTGTTTTATGAGCAAAATTTCTAAAAGAAAACACAACATAATTAGCATTGCCAGCACATATCTGAATTACTTGTGATGTTTCACCATGGGAATATATGAAAGTCTTAATTTTAATGGTCCCCAAATTTTACAGGATATATTTTTTTGACTGATTTCAGTTCAATAAGCTATGACACATTGTGCTGCTTAAAGAATGGATTTTTTGCAGGCAGAACAATTGTGACCGCCAAAAATAGTGAATATAAAAAGCTGTGTAACCCCTGTACCTCAATGTTCCCTTTACTAAAATACTGTGTGATGACGTCCTGTGTGACACCTTTACCTCAGTGTTCCCTTTACATACCGTGTGATGAGGTCCTGTGTGACCCCTATACCTCAATGTTCCCTTTATTTACCGTGTGATGAGGTCCTGTGTGAAGTTTTCCCCTATTGTCATTAGACCCCATGCTTCCCCTTTTTCCACACAATGTCGAGCTGACCCCAGGTCACTGAACATCACCTGTCAGATATTTAAAAGAGAAAAATGACAAAAAACAAAATTTTACCGTGTTTGAAACATCTAGAAGTGCATTTGTGAAGAGATATGGGACCAAAAATCTACACACTTCTCAGCTCCCTTGTCAAAATGATATTAACAATCTTAATCTTCATATTTTTGGAGAGGATTTATATTGTCCAACCCATTTGTTATTTAACAATAGAATTTGCTGAAATCGAAATACAAAACTGTACATATTAAATTGAAACTCATTTTCCTGGGGTTGTTATAAATACTTCGGATGTCTTTTCTGTCACACTGATTTAAGTCACATTTTCATTATTATCTGTTTTTCTTAAGACAACAATTCTTTCTCCATATAGTTACAATATCGGTAGTTCTTATTTTGTTTGTTCTATTTTGCTTTTATATCATCCTACGTTTTAGTGATTTAAACATTATTGAGCATCTAATTATAATATAACAATTTAAAGGACTTTTATTCTGCACTGGGAAACAGCAGGTCTATACTTACCCTGAACCAGCACAGGGTTCTGTTAACTTACTTATTACCTAATATCATTATTTGTTTTAAGTAACATTTTCCCTTATATCCCATTTAACAGTATGTCACATTTTCCTCTTACAAAAAACATTACCGTGAATGGATTACACCACAGACCTTTTCTGATACATGTACTACACAGGATGTCTACCTTATTGATGGTGGTGTTGTCCAGGTTCTGTATAAACAGATGGCTGAACCCTGAGGTCTCATTGTTGAAGATGGCCACTTTCAGGTTGTACGGGTCTCCTCCAATACACAAACAGAAGAGGACGATCTGGATGGACGGCAGTATGAACTCAAACAGTAGAAACCTGTGTGTGAGCCAAAGACAAAACAACAGATTAGAGGAGTCATAAAACTAAGATAAATCTGACATATAGCGAGAGTTGTGAACACAATATTTTAAAATAAGATTTTCCAGAATCTTTCTAAAACAATATCCATATTTTTTTAATTTTTTTTGCTTCCACAAATGCATCTGAAATCTCTTCATGTAATTTTGATTTTGAATATCAATATTTTTATAAATATTCTTGATTTTAAGTTTGATTTAAAAATGTTGTTTGCTCAAAGACTCTGAACAAATTGGCCTCTGGTGCTGTTATATTGAAGTTAATTCCACACAAACTTACCCTATGTTCCGCTTCATCAGCGTTAAGTTTTTGAGGAACTGAGCGACAATGTTTTTTCCACTAGGAAGTCCACAGGTACACCTACTGCCCGTCGTTATTACCTTGTGTTCATCTGTCAAATCATAACCTCTTCATTCTTATATTAACTTCAACGTGGAGCTTAGTACGTACACAAAATGTCTCTTATTATTCAAAACATTATTAAATCTTAACTTAAGGATGGATATTTTATATGTCTCCATATTTGGTCCCTTAATTTCCTTGTTTTTTTCTTTAGTACCAATTATTTATCATGATGCCTTGCCTAAATAGTGCCTGAACAGAGAAGGTTGACTTTTGGAAATATATTCTAGTTTCAAAAATACATGTAGGAATACTATACAGATCTAGAAAAAATGAAAACTAAAGATGATGAAGTTTGTGCATATTTATAACTATCTCGTTCTTAGGAGTATGGGAAACCCATGGGAACAAACACAAAAAAGTTATCATCATAAAATTATACTTATTTATGAAAGATATTACAATGGAAGCATCTGAAATATCTATGTTCTTTATATGTACAAGTATCAGACACTTCACAAGTCTGCTGATTAAATTTTCAAAAATGTCCTTTTCAAATTCCGTTGTTGAAACACCTTTCACTTGACATCTGTATTCTTAAATATATAAGGTCCATACAAACTTACCCTACATTTCAGATATATGGGGTAAGTTTGTATGGACCATACCAGATACCAGAAATAGTAGTCCCATGGCCCAAAATTGAACAAATTCCAGTGTGTATACCTATATCTGAAGTGTATATATATATCTGTAATATTAATTACAATATATTGTAATTAATATTACAGATATATATATACATTTCAGATATATTTATGTAATATATATTACAATATATTGTAATTAATATTACAGATATATATACACTTCAGATATAGGTATACACATTGGAATTTGTTCAATTTCGGACCATGGGACTACTATATCTGGGATCAAAGTGTTACAATGACAGTTAGAGTAATATTAATTGAACACCTTCTCAAGATTTAAAATGGCTATTTATAGTTTAGCTCCGTCTCTGGTTGTACTTCAGAATCTATTCTAAAAAATGTTGGTGATAACTGCCTTCCTTCGGGGGTCAAATTTTATTTTTGCGGACAATAGTAAAGTTTGAATTAATATGCAGAATGCATACAATAGTATGATCTGTCTGTCTGTTGCAGTTTGATGTTATATGAATTTAACAGATACATTGAACTTAATTATAAGGAATTAGGTAATATTTATACATAAGGGATGTATTTTTAGATGGATTCAAAACACAATCGTAGATAATCCATAAAATTGGCCAAGCTAGCCCACTTGTCATCATGTCAGGCGATAACTGAAATAATTCTTCATTTCCAATAGCATTGTCATTGTTCAAAATATTATATTATTCTATCAACTTGTTTTTACATCAGATGTTATTAGTTTACTTCTGTTTTACGTCCTATCAACTGCTATGGTCAGTTAAGGACGTGCCAGGTTTTGGTGGTGCGAGGAATACTGGAATGCCCTGAGAAAATCTACCGACCCACGGCCAGTACCTGGCGACTGCCCCTTGTAAGTCTCAAACCCACGGTAGGCCTATAGGACCCCCAACCCAATGATGGAGGGCTTGTGATCATAGAGGTCAGACACCATAGCCCACTTGGACATAATTGGATTATTAACCCTTTCACCACTGTAGACCATAACGGACTCATCCAGACCAATGCATGGTAGAGTCTACTAAAGTTACATAAGGGTGAAGTAATAATCAACTCACATATATGATCTGTTTGTATCTCTTCGCTGAATTCCACACCTCTGTTGCCAGCCAGAAGTGGAGTTCTCTCCCCTACATCAGTAGTTCCAGCCGACATTACATGGCCCTATAGAGACATAATGTAATAATATATACAATAATAAACAGCATTTGATATAGCGCCAAATCTAGCTAACATAAGCCACTCTAAAGCGATTTACAGTACATAGAACTAATATAATCAGCATATACATTAATCAATACAATTCTGAGGAATTTGCAGGAGCTGCTTATCAGGCACTAACTACTAGTCCTATGCCACCTGGCTAATATCTACCAAAGTGTGTATGCCTGTGTGTGTGCTGGAGATGTATTGTGTTCTGTTTGTAGTGGGACCCTTCTTCCAACGGCATCTTTTATAGTGCCACCTCACTTGAATGTTACAACACAGATACCACAACATCCCCCCAATTTATACCCCACCTGGGTTGTTTGAGTTGTGTGGGCAGGAATAAATACTTTCTCTGTCAATATCCAAGCATACGTCGACTTTGGGGATCAAACCCTGGCACCTGCGTGGGAGGCCAGAATGTTAATCACTCGACCAATCCGCCCACAATGTACACGTTATTATTCCTCCCCCACTCGTTGACGAGTTTCATCACACTATTATCTCCTGTATATATCATAGAGGTGAGTTACCTCAGTTTATGAGTGTAGTCCAGTAATACACTTCCGTCCCGAATACTACCATAACTCAGAAACATTTTTGAATGTTGGTTACTGATATCATGACAATTCTGAGAATTTTATTTTTCTATCGTCTACTATAAATAAATAAATGGTGATATAGATTGATTTTCAGGAATATTAAATAACAATCACCAAAGAGATGGTCTGAATGAAAGAACAGAGGTAAGAAGAAGAAATTCACTACTTTTAGATTACAATTTAAAGGACTCACGTTTTCCAAGTCATCACCTTCAGCCAGATCGTCATTTTGGCAAAGTTTAAGGAAAACAGCTTCCAGGCTCTGTAAGTACAGTAATTAAGCTATGAGAAAAAGTACAATCTTCATAATTATTGTGGTTTTGTTTTACTGGTTTTGGAGGCAAGCTATGTCAGTGATACATTGAATGTGTTTAGGACATCAGTTCTTTATATCTCAATAAGGAACTTTAAATGTTTAACATATTTACTAGTATTTTTATTTTATTTTATCATTATTATTTACTGATAAAAGGTTGACAATTCGCAATGCAATTAGGTTTATTAATGATTAACCATACTAATGAAATAGAAATGTTTTCAACTTGAGGTTACAGCTTTGGCGGTGGTATGGGGATCCTTAAAGTTACAGTTTTGGCAGTGGTATGGGTATCCTTAAATTTACAGTTTTGGCAGTGGTATGGGGATCCTTAAAGATACAGTTTTGGCGGTGGTATGGGGATCCTTAAAGTTACAGTTTTTGGCAGTGGTATGGGAATCCTTGAAGTTACAGTTTTGGCAGTGGAATGGGGATTCTTAAAGTTACAGCTTTGGCGGTGGTACAGGGATCCTTAAAGTTACAGTTTTTGACAGTGGTATGGGAACCCAAAAGTTACAGTTTTTTGGCAGTGGTACAGGGATTCTTAAAGTAACAGTTTTGGCAGTGGTATGGGGATCCTTAAAGTTACAGTTTTGGCAGTAGTATGAGAATCCTTAAAGTTACAGTTTTGGCGGTGGTATGGGGATCCTTAAAGTAACAGTTTTGGCAGTGGTACGGGGATCCTTAAAGTTACAGTTTTTGGCAGTACGGGGATCCTTAAAGTTACAGCTTTGGCGGTGGTACGGGGATCCATAAAGTTACATTTTTGGCGGTGGTACGGGGATCCTTAAAGTTACAGTTTTTTGGCAGTGGTACAGGGATTCTTAAAGTAACAGTTTTGGCAGTGGTATGGGAATCCTTAAAGTTACAGTTTTTTGGCAGTGGTACAGGGATTCTTAAAGTAACAGTTTTGGCAGTGGTATGGGAATCCTTAAAGTTACAGTTTTGGCGAGGGTCAGGGATCCTTAAAGTTACAGTTTTTGACAGTGGTATGGGAATCCTTAAAGTTACAGTTTTTTGGCAGTGGTACAGGGATTTTTAAAGTAACAGTTTAGGCAGTGGTATGGGAATCCTTAAAGTAACAGTTTTGGCAGTGGTATGGTAAACCCTTAAAGTTACAGTTTTGGCAGTGGTATGGGAATCCTTAAAGTTACAGTTTTGGTGGTGGTATGGGGATCCTTAAAGTAACAGTTTTGGCAGTGGTATGGGGATCCTTAAAGTTACAGTTTTTGGCAGTACGGGGATCCTTAAAGTTACAGTTTTTGGCAGTACGGGGATCCATAAAGTTACATTTTTGGCGGTGGTACGGGGATCCTTAAAGTTACAGTTTTTGACAGTGGTATGGGAATCCTTAAAGTTACAGTTTTGGCGAGGGTCAGGGATCCTTAAAGTTACAGTTTTGGCGAGGGAACGGGGATCCTTAAAGTTACAGTTTCTGGCAGTACGGGGATCCTTAAAGTTACAGTTTCTGGCAGTACGGGGATCCTTAAAGTTACAGCTTTGGCGGTGGTACGGGGATCCATAAAGTTACAGTTTTTTGGCAGTGGTACAGGGATTTTTAAAGTAACAGTTTAGGCAATGGTATGGGAATCCTTAAAGTAACAGTTTTGGCAGTGGTATGGTAAACCCTTAAAGTTACAGTTTTGGCAGTGGTATGGGAATCCTTAAAGTTACAGTTTTGGCGGTGGTATGGGGATCCTTAAAGTAACAGTTTGGGCAGTGGTACGGGGATCCTTAAAGTTACAGTTTTTGGCAGTAGTACGGGGATCCTTAAAGTTACAGCTTTGGCGGTGGTACGGGGATCCATAAAGTTACATTTTGGCGGTGGTACGGGGATCCTTAAAGTTACAGTTTTATTGGCAGTGGTACAGGGATTCTTAAAGTAACAGTTTTGGCAGTGGTATGGGGATCCTTAAAGTTACAGCTTTGGCGGTGGTACGGGGATCCATAAAGTTACATTTTGGCGGTGGTTCGGGTATCCTTAAAGTTACAGTTTTGGCGAGGGTACGGGGATCCTTAAAGTCACAGTTTTTGACAGTGGTATGGGAATCCTTAAAGTTACAGTTTTTGGGCAGTGGTACAGGGATTCTTAAAGTAACAGTTTAGGCAGTGGTATGGGAATCCTTAAAGTAACAGTTTTGGCAGTGGTATGGGAATCCTTAAAGTTACAGTTTTGGCGGTGGTACGGGGATCCTTAAAGTTACAGTTTTGGCGGTGGTACAGGGATTCCTAAAGTAACAGTTTTGGCAGTGGTATAGAGATCGGGCAGTGGTACAGGGATCCTGAAAGTTACAGAGTTGGCAGTTGTAAGGGGATCGGGCAGTGGTATTGGGATCCTTTTTGAAGCATCTGGATCTCCTTACATTTATGTGATGTTTTTGGATCAATATGTTCGGTTCCTCCTCAGCCAGCAAACGACCACCCCTCATCAATCCCACCTGTCACAAAAAAAAATCAGATTTTTTTCATGGACAAATCTCATTTTATATTTACGACGATTAGATCTTATCTAGCAGGTAAAATCTCAGCAATGAATAATTAGATACAATTGGATTTAACACTCAAAGAAGAATTTTACACGATTAATCAGAATCGGAGATATATCCTATAATGTATATATACGTCAGACAGTTTTAGTTTGATTCTATGACCGCAGCAATACATACAGTGTTGGCCTGTCTCGCCTCCTCAATATAGTGGGTTGTGATGATAATGGTTGTTTTTAGGCTGTCATGTCCCGCTATTTTCACCAGATGTTCCCAAATTCTACAGTAAACAGAATAGAGTATGATTAAAGTTTACCATATGACCATTTCAACATCCTACTCCGTATCAGCCGGATCAAGACTTCCATATCAGCCCTAAGGGCTGGAGGCCCGAGGGCTGATTCCTGTGAAAGCCTGGAGGCCCGATGGCCGATTCCTGTGAAAGCCTGGAGGCCCGAGGGCTGATTCCTGTGAAAGCCTGGAGGCCCGAGGGCTGATTCCTGTGAAGGCCTGGAGGCTCGAGGGCCGATTCCTGTGAAGGCCTGGAGGCCTGAGGGCTGATTCCTGTGAAGGGCTGGAGGCCCGAGGGCTGGTTCCTGTGAAGGGCTGATTCCTGTGAAGGGCTGCAGGCACCAAGGCTGATTCCTGTGAAGGGCTGATTCCTGTGAAGGGTTGAATCCGTGTGAAGTGCTGGAGGCCCGAGGGCTGGTTCCTGTGAAGGGCTGATACGGAGTAGGAAATGGCATTAACAGTATAAGCTTAAATAAAACACCATAAAGAGAAATGTATACAAAGACAGATATGCAAAGTGTGCACTACCATTTTGAGGTGTGATATTTCTGAAAAGTGTTCAACCGAAAGTTAAACGGACGTGACAGGTACTGGGCGTATATGGCACGTGCTGAGCGGATAAGACAAATGCTGGACAGATATTGACGGCCTTTGCACAATTAGCAGTTTTACACATAATAATGGATGCAAAACAGCCCAAGTATATTATAATATGCTTTACTATCACCGTTTTTATCCTTGTGTGTATAGCACTGTCTACCAGGTAATAAGGTGTGTTGGTTCAATCATTAGACTGTGTGAGAACTGTTTCTATAGTAAATGTTCCTGTGACAGTTATTGGTAAAGTCACTTATTTTAGTTCCTGAGAGAACTGTTTCTATAGTACTGCTCTTTGTGAAAACTGTTAGTAACCTTACTCTCCCTACAGGAACAGTTTCCTTAGTTACCGATTCTATCAGAACTATCCTATAGTTACCGTTCCCGTAGAAGAGGGTCCACCCCTACGGTTGGTTCGTCCAGGATCAGTAGTTCCGGCTCGTGTAGAAGTGCCACAGCAAATGACACACGTCTCTTCTGTCCCCCGCTGTGTAACATAATAGTAAATTTGTTACTAGTAACAATAATTTAGCAACAAATACAACAAATATATCAGCTAATCTCAGACAGGTCCCACAGTTTTTTGGCAGAGTTTTTAGGATCATTTTGGGATTCATAGCATCATTTGACTTATACAGTGCAGACTGTATGTTATTTATAACAGTGTATACATGTTCTGAAAACAGTGAAGGGCTTAATACCTGCTTCATATAATTACTACACCTCTCCTTTTACATCCAAACAACATTTCCATGTTTCTGTTATGTATGACATCTATCATAATGATTATTTGATCTCTAACTGCCACGAGAATGACAGTGATATCACCTAAAGTATGAAAGGGCAATGCAGTACAGAAACTGTGTTTTACCAAGCAATCAATAACACAAGCTACCTCTCATCAAAAGATCAGCACATATAAGGTTTTTCTTATGGCTAAATCATAGATTGCATGTGACTTATAAAATCTGTTCATCAGCTTTCCAGAGATATCATAGATACACAATCATTCAGCCCTGTACATGTATGTATAGTTGGATAAAAGTAGACAGAAAAACACAGGAAGCTTGATGAAAGGAACTAGTGTTGGGAAATTGGAAGTGGAAATCGGAAGACTTTTAATGAACAATAGAATTTTGGATTTGCAGCATACGGTTATTTTGCCATGTACCTTTAAACCAAAGGCTGACTTGGTTTATCCATTTGACAGTCACCTTCTACTAGAATTTGAGTAAGAGCAAATATCAACAGAAAACAGCATGCAACATTTAATTTGAATTGGTTGTACAATCGATTGATTTTCGATTATAACCGATTATCGGAACAACACTAAAAGGAACAGAAAGACAGAGGACCAAATTAAATGATTGAGAAAAGGAGAGACAGAGTGTCAAAGGTACAAAAAAGTAAAATAAATGGAGAATAGGAATGACCAGATGAGGGAGGGATAAGGGAGACTGAAAGATAGCAGGGCAATATATATAATGTAAAGAGAAAAACACAGAAAAAACTAGAACACTGACAGGTCAGTAAGGGCCCCGTCTTGTGGCAATATATCCCCCATAATCATCAAGAAGCAATCTGCCCATATAGCTGAGCTTGACGTTTGACATTTGGACTTCAAAAAGAATCACAAGAAAGCAAAATATACATTTTACATGTACTATGATGTGAGTCTTGTTTCCTTCCGCCTCCATATTTGCTGGGCTAACAGAAATGTAAATACCGGTGCAATACTCATTTGTTAGCTTTGATTTGTTTTATTTCACCTTATATACCTCCTCGATCAAGAGCCAGGGTCAAAGTCAGAGATACACTTTGTCTTTGACCTTTGGACCCAAATAACCTTGACCATTAACCCAGCTGACCCTCATCTTTGGTCAGTTGACTTATTCTTTTATTCCAACCACCTTTGCTTCTTGATATCATAACAAAATGTTTATCAGTGAAAAATACAAAACTTGACCTTGACCCTTTGGACCCCGTAACCTGGACCTAAGGTCAATTGACTCTGTGTTAAGTTCTGAACAACAATGCTTCATAATGTCATAACAAAATGTTCATCAGGGAAAAGGTACAAAATGTAACCTTCACCTTTGACCCAGTGACCTTGATCTTTGGTCAATTGACTCCTTAATTTTGAGCAACATTGCTTCAAAGTATCATAGCGAAATGTTTACCGGTGAAAATATACAAAATTTAACATTGACCCCTGACCTGATGACCATGACCTTTGGTCATTTGACTCCTTGTTTAATTCTAATCAACTTTGCTTCATAATGTCATAACAAAATGTTCATCAGTGAAAAGATGTAAAATTTGACCTTGACCTTTGAACATAATGACCTTGACCTTTGACCTTGACTTTTTTACCTCAATGTGTATTTTTGTTAACTGAACATCTTGACCAAGTTTCATGTACATCGGTCAATAAATACCAAAGTTATCAGCCAGGAACAAAATTTGTGGACAGACAGACAGACAGACAGAGTGATTACTATAGGGCACCTGGAGAGAGAGGAGAGCGAGCACCGACCTACCTGAGCGTGTCCACTATTCTACCCTGATCAGGAAGGGTAAGGAACTGTAGCAGGAACAAAATCCTCTCATCTATCTGGTGACTTGACATTCTATGTATGCGGCCGAAGTAGAAAAGTGTTTCTCTGATTGTCATCTTGTTAAACAACGCCATTTCCTACAAAATCAATTTAGAAACAAGTTCCACCAGAAAGTTATCTCATCAGTTTATGTTTGTTTTGTACACAATCCAACACCAGGAATAATTAGTTATAGTGTTTAATTTGTAATTTGTAATTTTTTTCACTTCTTATCAAATCTAATGAAGTTACATTCAAAAGGAAATCACAAGTCTTTGGAGAATCTATAGTAAATATCTGTATATAGTGACCACCAGATGGCCATGCACACTCAATCACTTGTGGCATGTGTCCAACCATATGGCCACACTAACCTGTGGCATGTATCTGACCAAACAGCCACACTCACCTGTGACATTTATCCGACCAAACGGCCACACTCACCTGCGGCATGAATCTGACCAAACAGCCACACTCACCTGTGGCATGTACCCGACCAGACTTCCTGGTATCCCGTGTCCTGGCGTTCCCGGTTTCTCCCCCAGAACCACTAGGTTACCACGGTCCACAGACAGGCGGCCTACGATACACCGCAGTAAGGTGGTCTTACCACATCCACTCGGCCCCAATAGTCCATATCTGTGGAAACAGTATGAGGCTCCATTAAATATAACTCTCCGACATCTACCGTGAATTTGTCATGTGGCTTCATAAAATATAATTCTCTCACTACTTCCCTCTATATGTCATGTCGCTCCATAAAATATAATTCTCTCACTACTTCCCTCTATATGTCATGTGGCTCCATAAAAATTAATTCTCTCACTACTTCCCTCTATATGTCATGTGGCTCCATAAAATATAATTCTCTCACTACTTCCCTCTATATGTCATGTGGCTTCATAAAATATTATTCTCTCACTACTTCCCTCTATATGTCATGTCGCTCATTAAAATATAATTCTCTCACTACTTCCCTCTATATGTCATGTGGCTCCATAAAATATAATTCTCTCACTATACTTCCCTCTATATGTCATGTGGCTCCATGAAATATAATTATCTCGCTACTTCCCTCTATATGTCATGTGGCTCCATAAACTATAATTCTCTCACTACTTCCCTCTATATGTCATGTCGCTCATTAAAATATAATTCTCTCACTACTTCCCTCTACATGTCATGTCGCTCCATAAAATATAATTCTCTCACTACTTCCCTCTACATGTCATGTCGCTCCATAAAATATAATTCTCTCACTACTTCCCTCTATAGGTCATGTGGCTCCATAAAATATAATTATCTCTCTATACTTCCCTCTATATGTCATGTGGCTCCATAAAAATTAATTATCTCACCACTTCCCTCTATATGTCATGTGGCTCCATAAAAATTAATTATCTCACCACTTCCCTCTATATGTCATGTGGCTCCATAAAAATTAATTATCTCACCACTTCCCTCTATATGTCATGTGGCTCCATAAAATATAATTCTCTCGCTACTTCCCTCTATATGTCATGTGGCTCCATAAAAATTAATTATCTCACCACTTCCCTCTATATGTCATGTGGCTCCATAAAATATAATTCTCTCGCTACTTCCCTCTATATGTCATGTGGCTCCATAAAATATAATTCTCTCACTATAGTTCCCTCTATATGTCATGTGGCTCCATAAAATATAATTCTCTCACTATAGTTCCCTCTATATGTCATGTGGCTCCATAAAATATAATTCTCTCGCTACTTCCCTCTATATGTCATGTGGCTCCATAAAATATAATTCTCTCACTATACTTCCCTCTATATGTCATGTGGCTCCATGAAATATAATTATCTCGCTACTTCCCTCTATATGTCATGTGGCTCCATAAAATATAATTATCTCTCTATACTTCCCTCTATATGTCATGTGGCTCCATAAAATATAATTCTCTCACTACTTCCCTCTATATGTAATGTGGCTTCATAAAATATTATTCTCTCACTACTTCCCTCTATATGTCATGTGGCTTCATAAAATATTATTCTCTCACTACTTCCCTCTATATGTCATGTGGCTTCATAAAATATTATTCTCTCACTACTTCCCTCTATATGTCATGCCTTTCAAATAATACTTGTTTGGTTTGGTTTGTTTGTGTTTCACGTCCTATTAATGGCTATCGTCATTTAAGGAGGTGCCAGGTTTTAGAGGGGGAGGAAAGCCAGGGTACCCGGAGAAAACCAAGGAGGGGCCAGGTTTTAGAGGCGGAGGAAAGCCAGGGTACCCGGAGAAAACCAAGGAGGTGCCAGGTTTTAGAGGTGGAGGAAAGCCAGGGTACCCGGAGAAAACCAACAACTTGCGGCCAGTACCTGGGGACTGGCCCACGAAGGTCTTGAACCCACGACCCAGTGGTGGTGGGCTAGTGGTAGCAGAATGTCAGACGCCCTAACCACTCGGCCATCACTGCCGGACTCAAATAATTAATACTGAATTGTGTGCACATTTCTGTTGGTGAATATGTCACTATGTTTGCTACTCTACCTGCAGTCATCACTTATGTCTGAACCAGAATTCCTGCCATGTGTATGTTCCTAAATCTTGTACTTTGACATATAGTTGAACTAATAGCAGGTGTTTCAGAAACGTATCAGTCACCACTGTATAAAATAGCCTCCCGCCTGCTACCAGACAATCAAAATGCTACCTACTTTGAAGAATGGTGTAAGTTCTCTATGTAGCAGTTTACATAAATAGCAACTCATCCAATAAACAAGGATGCGATCCTCCTTCGCATGCCAGGCTTTCATCAAATCAAGTATCGATCTAAATGCATGTATTTTCATCATCATTTCAAATCTACCATTACATACATAATATATAAAAAAGCTGGAAAATATCAACAAGAGGCTCAGAGGGCCTGTATCGCTCACCTGGATAATAAAGCAACTAACGGAAATTATTCTTTTTACATAAAATCCCTGCAATGGTACAGAAAGAGAAGTTATTTAAAAATTTAAACCTTAAATTTGGCCCCCAGGGGGACCACACCTACCATTTATACAAAATTGAGTTTTAGTTTAAACATATTTTTATTGTCGTAAATAGGGACAATTAGGATTGAGCACAAGTTTTGCCAACTTAGTAACGCCCTCTCCTTAATACATCATGTTGTATAATACATAATGGACAGCAGTGAATTAACTTTATCCGATCATATAGTAGAAACAGCGAGGGAAGGAAAGCGAGAAGAAGAAGGGTAAAAGATAGGTAGGATCATCCCCTAAATATATATATAATATACAAACACATGTAAATGTTTAAAACAATATTTGGTTAACAGTAATCTGACTGGCTGGAAAAACATCAATCAACACTTTCATAAACTGTGTCCATCACATTCCATAAAGCTGTATTCTGTAGATCCACTCGTAACCGTTCCGTGTTCNGTGCTCAAAATGTCAAAACCTGCCAGTACCGTCGATATAGACTTGTACCGTTCTTGCAATGTTTGAGTTTGCCTCATTATTTAAATCTATATCACCCTTTAGAATTAGGTCTAATGACATATCTCCTGGATACCATGCTAAATTCTGCAATAAGGAAAGGCGTCGGATGTGGTATTTAGGGCATGTGAAGAAGAAGTGATACGAGTCCTCGCACGTGTGTCCACATTCACATTGTGCTGAAAAATTAAGATTAGCCCTAAAAAGATCATAATTGAGAGTACTTGCCCTGTTTCTTAATCTACAATGAAGAATATTTAGCCTACGCGGACCAAAATTGAGAAAGCATGGATTACATTTAGTTATTACATTATTCAACTTATGTATATTTAATTTGAAGGAGTTCAGAGTTTGGGAGTGTCTTATGGTTGTGTCTAAATTATTCCAAAGATCAACAGTTGAAAGAAAGAAAGAGTTGTGCATAGTTTGGAGTCTATACCGTTGCTGCCGCAATTGCTGAGAATTTCTTAAATTATAATGAGTCAGATCTCCAATATTTTGAGGTAGGATATTACATAAGTATGAGGGTGCATAAATTGAGTCCCCTTGGCCTAAGGATGTTCCAGACTAAATTAGGATAAAATCCTTTTATTCCTACAGTAGCAGAAGGATTTTTAAAGATTTCACATCTATTTCCCCTATTTCTGCCCCACCGTTTATACAAAATTTTGGCCTAAGGATGCTCCAGACTAAATTTAGTCAAAATCTACTAGGCCGTTCAGGATTAGTAGAATTTTAAAAGTAAAGTTGAAGGACGGACCCCGCACAATGCCATAAGCTCACTGGTCCTTAGGACCAGGTGAACTAAAACACTGCATTATAGTGCATGCATCTAATTTTGAAACATATTGCATTAATTTTCACGAACTTATCTCAAACAAACAAGACTGGGTAAGTCCCCATCCTTGACACACATCACCTACATAGAGCCTCTCTCTACAGTCATCGCCAGGTTTTGAAGGACTGGATCATCTTTCTTTCCGTATCGCTTGGATAACCCCCTAGCCCACACCGCATTCTCTCCTAATGTTGTGGTGTTTTGTTCAGTCATGGCCTGAAAGTAGGAGAAATGCATGCCTTAATTAAATATTATCAGGTAAAAAAATATATATGGTTTCTCAGATACATCTTCAGAACAGAAGTCATGTCAATTGGCAGTCACATGGTACATCAGAGCGTTTACAGTCATCATAGCGTTTACAGATCGTAGCGTTTACGGTCCTCAGAGCGTTTACTGTCATCAGAGCATTTACAGATCGTAACCAAGGAGGTGCCCAGAGCATTTACAGTCATCAGAGCGTTTACGGTCATCATAGCGTTTACAGTCATCATAGCGTTTACAGTCATCAGAGCGTTTACTGTCATCACAGCGTTTACAGTCATCCTAGCGTTTACAGATCGTAGCGTTTACGGTCATCAGAGCATTTACAGTCATCAGAGCCTTTACGGTCATCATAGCGTTTACAGTCATCAGAGCGTACGTTTACTGTCATCACAGCGTTTAAAGTCATCAGAGCGTTTACGGTCATCATAGCCTTTACAGTCATCATAGCGTTTACTGTCATCACAGCGTTTACAGTCATCAGAGCATTTACGGTCATCATAGCGTTTACAGTCATCATAGCGTTTACAGTCATCAGAGCGTTTACGGTCATCAAAGCGTTTACAGTCATCATAGCGTTTATAGTCATCAGAGCGTTTACGGTCATCATAGCGTTTACAGTCATCATAGCGTTTACGGTCATCATAGCGTTTCAGAGCATTTACGGTCATCATAGCGTTTCAGAGCATTTACGGTCATCATAGCGTTTTCAGTCATCATTGCGTTTATAGTCATCAGTGCGTTTACGGTCATCATAGCGTTTACGGTCTTCATAGCGTTTACAGTCATCATGGCGTTTACAGTCATCAGAGCCTTTACAGCGTTTACTGTCATCACAGCATTTACATATCAGAGCGTTCACAGTCATCAGAGCGTTTACCGTCATCACAGCGTTTACAGTCATCATAGTGTTTACTGTCATCAGAGCGTTTACCGTCATCACAGCTCTTACAGTCATCATAGCGTCTACAGTCATCAGAGCGTCTACCGGCATCAAAGCGTTTTCAGTCATCATTGCGTTTATAGTCATCAGAGCGTTTACGGTGATCAAAGCGTTTACAGTCATCAGCGCATTTACGGTCATCATAGCGTTTCAGAGCATTTACGGTCATCATAGCATTTACAGTCATCATAGCGTTAACTGTCATCAGAGCGTTTACCGTCATCACAGCTCTTACAGTCATCATAGCGTCTACAGTCATCAGAGCGTTTACCGTCATCACAGCGTTTACAGTCATCATAACGTTTACAGTCATCATAACGTTTACAGTCATCAGAAGCCATCAGAGCGTTTACGGTCCTCATAGCGTTTACAGTAATCAAAGCGTTAACAGTCATCAGAGCGTTTACAGTCATCAGAGCGTTTACAGTCATCATAACGTTTACGGTCCTCAGAGCATTTACTGTCATCACAGCGTTTACATATTATAGCGTTAACAGTCATCAGAGCGTTTACAGTCATCATAATGTTTACGGTCCTCAGAGCGTTTACTGTCATCACAGTGTTTACAGTTATCATAGCGTTTAAAGTCATCAGAGCGTTTACGGTCATCATAGCATTTACAGTCATCAGAGCGTTTACGGTCATCATAGCATTTACTGTCATCACAGTGTTTACAGTTATCATAGCGTTTAAAGTCATCAGAGCGTTTACGGTCATCACAGCATATCATAGCGTTAACAGTCATCAGAGCGTTTACAGTCATCAGAGTGTTTACAGTCATCATAATGTTTACGGTCCTCAGAGCATTTACTGTCATCACAGCGTTTACATATCATAGCGTTAACAGTCATCAGAGCGTTTACAGTCATCATAGCGTTTACAGTCATCAGAGCGTTTACTGTCATCACAGCGTTTACAGTCATCAGAGCATTTACAGTCATCAGAGCGTTTACTGTCATCACAGTGTTTACAGTTATCATAGCGTTTACAGTCATCAGAGCGTTTACGGTCATCATAGCATTTACTGTCATCACAGTGTTTACATATCATAGCGTTAACAGTCATCATAGTGTTTACAGTCATCAGAGCGTTTACTGTCATCACAGCGTTTACAGTCATCAGAGTGTTTACGGTCATCATAGCGTTTACAGTCATCATAGCTTTTACAGTCATCAGAGCCTTTACGGTCATCACAGCGTTTACAATCATCATAACGTTTACAGTCATCAGAGCGTTTACGGTCATCATAGCGTTTACAGTCATCATAGCGTTTACTGTCATCACAGCGTTTACTGTCATCACAGCGTTTACATATCATAGCGTTAACAGTCATCAGAGCGTTTACAGTCATCATAGCATTTACAGTCATCAGAACGTTTACAGTCAACAGCGTTTACATATCCATCATAGCGTTTACATATCATAGCGTTAACAGTCATCAGAGCGTTTACAGTCATCAGAGCGTTTACAGTCATCATAGCGTTTTCAGTCATCATAGCGTTAATGGTCCTCAGAGCATTTACTGTCATCACAGCGTTTACATATCATAGCATTAACAGTCATCAGAGCGTTTACAGTCATCAGAGCGTTTACAGTCATCATAGCGTTTACGGTCCTCAGAGCATTTACTGTCATCACAGCGTTTACATATCATAGCGTTAACAGTCATCAGAGCGTTTACAGTCATCATAGCGTTTACAGTCATCAGAGCGTTTACGGTCATCATAGCGTTTACAGTCATCATAGCGTTTACTGTCATCAGAGCGTTTACTGTCATCACAGCATTTACATATCATAGCGTTAACAGTCATCATAGCGTTAACAGTCATCATAGCGTTTACAGTCATCATAGCGTTTACAGTCATCAGAGCGTTTACGGTCATCATAGCGTTTACAGTCATCATAGCGTTTACTGTCATCAGAGCGTTTACTGTCATCACAGCATTTACATATCATAGCGTTAACAGTCATCATAGCGTTTACAGTCATCAGAGCGTTTACTGTCATCACAGCGTTTACAGTTATCATAGCATTTACAGTCATCATAGCGTTTACTNGCGTTTACATATCATAGCGTTAACTGTCATCAGAGCGTTTACTGTCATCATAGCGTTTACAGTCATCATAGCGTTTACAGTCATCAGAGCCTTTACGGTCATCACAGCGTTTACAGTCATCATAGCGTTTACAGTCATCATAGCATTTACAGTCATCAGAGCGTTTACGGTCATCATAGCATTTACAGTCATCAGAGCATTTACTGTCATCACAGCGTTTACATATCATAGCGTTAACAGTCATCAGAGCGTTAACAGTCATCATAGCGTTTACAGTCATCATAGCGTTTACATTCATCATAGCGTTTACAGTCATCAGAGCGTTTACGGTCATCACAGCTTTTACAGTCATCATAGCGTTTACAGTCATCAGAGCGTTTACGGTCATCATAGCATTTACAGTCATCAGAGCGTTTACGGTCATCATAGCATTTACAGTCATCAGAGCATTTACTGTCATCACAGCGTTTACATATCATAGCGTTAACTGTCATCAGAGCGTTTACTGTCATCATAGCGTTTACAGTCATCATAGCGTTTACAGTCATCAGAGCCTTTACGGTCATCACAGCGTTTACAGTCATCATAGCGTTTACAGTCATCATAGCATTTACAGTCATCAGAGCGTTTACGGTCATCATAGCATTTACAGTCATCAGAGCGTTTACTGTCATCACAGCGTTTACATATCATAGCGTTAACAGTCATCAGAGCGTTAACAGTCATCATAGCGTTTACAGTCATCATAGCATTAACGGTCATCATAGCGTTTACAGTCATCATAGCGTTTACAGTCATCAGAGCGTTTACGGTCATCACAGCTTTTACAGTCATCATAGCGTTTACAGTCATCAGAGCGTTCACGGTCATCATAGCGTTTACAGTGATCAGAGCATTTACTGTCATCACAGCGTTTACATATCATAGCGTTAACAGTCATCAGAGCTTTTACAGTCATCAGAGCGTTTACATATCATAGCGTTTACAGATCATAGCGGTTACAGTCATCAGAGCGTTTACAGTTATCATAGCGGTTACAGATCGAAGCATTTACAGATCGTAGCGTTTACAGATCGTAGCGTTTACAGCTGCATGTTGTTTATTCACTCCACTTTAATGGGATGAGTAGATTAAATCACATCAGTGTTTGTTGGCGGAGAGTGTTTCTTATCAGACTCAACTCTATATCATTATTTATCAGAGTGAACTTGTTTACATTGATCACACTCACAGGGGCTGGCAACGATAAATAAAGGATAGATAATAAAAGTCAGTTAAAACATACACATTATCATTCCATATTCATTATTGTAAGCCCCTGTGCATTGGTTGGAGTATTCACATCTCCCACATGGACAACCACTACAGGTTTCCTCACTCACGACTTACTCAATAATTATATAAACGTTCTAGAAGCTAGGAGACAATTTTGGTTATCCGCTATTAGTAGTAGTGGGTATCACGTCTCTTGATGTTATTTCATTGGTCAATCTGTAAATATGACATCAAGTAATAACAATACTTTGTGACGTCCACTTTCATTGTGACATCATAGTTCATGTCCATTGTTTCCCCGATGGGTAAATAGGAATAGTTATTCCCATGAGAAACATACAGTTTTTTAGATATACATTGTACTACATGTAACTGAACCTTATGGAAGAAAAAGGTCCACAAACTCGTGATGGTTAAGCATCAGGGCCCAGTTGTTCAAAGGGTGGTTAACTTAATCACTGTTTAACAACATTTTTCAACCTTTAATAATTTCGTCAATATTCAAGGTAAAATCTCACAATTTTGCATGTAAATTCACTCTATTAAATATATGATATCTGGAAAGTTGCAACGAATTCAATGGTTGTGTTTTAAAGTAACGCTAAAATTAAAGTTTGCGCTAATCACTGATTAAGCTAATCACCTTTTGAACAACTGAGCCCAGGTGTTACTCTAACCCTCGTTAGTTAATTAATTTTCAAATTGTAAACCTTATGTCTTAATACAAATTGAAGATTCACTACGTAATTTGAGTAAGATAATCATGATAACGAACCAATCACTAATTGGGAAACTTCCATATACATGCAAGACATAGCTTCTCTGGGGAAGCTATTTTATAGGAATCAGATATTAACTACAAACTACTATCCACCCCTCTTCTACGTATTCTGCTTAATAGCAGGCTAGATATACATGTAACCCCACGTAAGGGAAATAATCCTGCACTTGGGTAAAATTAACTGTCCACACTGTGACAATTACTACATGTATTTCATATATGGGAATATGGTGAAAAAAAGCATGTAAACTTCTTAAGCTTTTAATTAGGAAGGACCGTCATTTTGACGTTACATACACAAGTATAAACGCAGTTGGCAACGACCATATTCTTTATAAGGCGCTCCAATATAGAACATGTCTGGCGCTCCAATATAGAATATGTTTGGCGGTCCAATATAGAATATGTTTGGCACTCCAATATAGAAAATGTCTGGTGCTCCAATATAGAATATGTTTGGCGGTCCAATATAGAATATGTCTAGCGCTCCAATATAGAATATGTTTGGCCCTCCAATATAGAAAATGTCTGGTGCTCCAATATAGAATATGTTTGGCGGGCCAATATAGAATATGTTTGGCACTCCAATATAGAATATGTCTGGAGCTCCAATATAGAATATGTTTGGCGGTCCAATATAGAATATGTCTAGCGCTCCAATATAGAATATGTCTGGCGCTCAATATAGAATATGTCTGGCCCCCAATATATAGAATATGTCTGGCGCTCCAATATAGAATATGTCTAGCGCTCCAATATAGAATATGTCTGGCGCTCCAATATAGAATACGTTTGGTGCTCCAATATAGAATATGTCTGGCGCTCAATATAGAATATGTCTGGCCCCCAATATATAGAATATGTCTGGCGCTCCAATATAGAATATGTTTGCCGCTCTAATATAGAATATGTCTAGCGCTCCAATATAGAATATGTTTGGCACTCCAATATAGAATATGTCTGGCGCTCCAATATAGAATATGTTTGGCACTCCAATATAAAATATGTCTAGCGCTCCAATATAGAATATGTTTGGCACTCCAATATAAAATATGTCTAGCGCTCCAATATAGAATATGTTTGCCGCTCCAATATAGAATATGTCTAGCGCTCCAATATAAAATATGTCTGGTGCCCAATATAGAATATGGTTGCCGCTCCAATATAGAATATGTCTAGCGCTCCAATATAGAATATGTCTGGTGCCAAATATAGAATATGTTTGCCGCTCCAATATACAATATGTCTGGTGCTCCAATATAGAATATGTTTGGCGGTCCAATATAGAATATGTCTAGCGCTCCAATATAGAATATGTCTGGTGCCCAAGATAGAATATGTTTGCCGCTCCAATATAGAATATGTCTGGTGCCCAATATAGAATATGTTTGCCGCTCCAATATAGAATATGTCTAGCGCTCCAATATAGAATATGTCTGGTGCCCAATATAGAATATGTTTGCCGCTCCAATATAGAATATGTCTGGTGCTCCAATATAGAATATGTTTGCCGCTCTAATATAGAATATGTCTAGCGCTCCAATATAGAATATGTTTGCCGCTCCAATATAGAATATGTTTGTTACCAACTGCGTTTATACTACATACATGTAAGGTATCGATGCTGTCAAAATGAAGGTCAAACCTTAATATAAAATGTACATTCCTTGGACCCTTAAATTAAGTGTTTTCATCCAGTGAATTTGCTTAACTGTTCCTATATTCTAAGATCTAATGATTTCATCTAAAAGAGCAACTAAAAATCAAATGTCTTTATATATAGTTATTTTGTCTCTAGGAAAGTAGGAGGGTATATGCACACATTTTATTTATGTTTTAATTTTGCATAATCTTTCCATGCAAATTTCAAAAAGTGGACAATGACTTAAACCTTAGAATATTAGAGCTCAACCCAGCTATGAATTAGAGGTGGGTATATAACCACATACACGTATCTACATATACAGGTTCAGCACAACAGCGCATATCGGTAATAATCCTGCATTTGGGTAACATCTTTGTATGTTATGGTTGAATGCACTTCAAATCTACTTTCATTATCCTATATAAAAAACCAAAATTTTGTACTTCACTATCTTTATTAAAATTTTGATTTTTTATATAGGATAGTGAAAGTAGATTCGAAGTGCATTCAACCATAACATACAAAGATGTTACCCAAATGCAGGATTATTACCGATATGCGCTGTTGTGCCGAACCTGTTATAGGTCTGTGTACTGGGTCTGATCAAAGAAAGTTTAAGAAACCAAACTTAAATTGATCTGCTGCCCTTTGCAATACTTAATTGAGATAGGTATCTCTTCTTTTCTCTTAATTTCCGACGTGTCTCCCGTAGCACCCGTCTTCCTATCACCCTCGCTGTTGTTAAAACCTAATTTTAAACCAAAACACCCAAACAAATATTTCATAACCAACGTCAATGAGACTGGTCAATTGACACGGTCATGAATGTCCTCGCTTCTCGGTAGGACAGCTACCCTTTGGACAAACTTGTGTTAAATCGTACTTGACTGGTAACAAACCTGGATCATATTCGTGACAAAATCGTGTCCTTTTATCAGTTCTGCCTAGGTGATCTGGTCTTTTTGATGTGTGAACAGGCGAGAGAAATATGACTGTCCATAGTTATTAAACAGGAAGTTGTTACGACGACTGTAAATAAAAAATCGGCGGGGTCTTGAATATCCGTAGCAAAGTGGAATATATATATATAATTTAATTTTGCCTATCTCCCCCATAATATATTTTTTTATATATCATATAGGCTCCTATATCTAAAATGTAAAACACCTGATGACGGAACTACTTTTTATACTTCAGAATGCAAAATTACAACGCAGCTTTTTTTAGCGCAATTGTTTAGTTTACGTAAAAATTAAATAAATCTTTAACTCTGCATTAACTACGTGTTTGTCTACTTATTTAAAATTAAATTATAAAGAATGTCCAAGATTTTGTTTTGATATATACGGTACATACCGAAAAAAACTGTGCACTTTTTTGCATTTATAAACCGCTTCGCGGATTTATGCAAAGTGCACAATTTATTTTCGGTATATACCCACATCCCTGACCGTGTATACCAAAACAAAATCTTGGTCATTCCTTAAATACGTATTCCTTATCAAGGAATCAGATAAATATATCAAATTATTCTCAATAAAACATTTTCGTAAATGTTGGCACATTTAAAACATAGTAACAATGTTTCAAACTTAACTTTAATCATGTTACCGTTAAGTAATCCAAGAAAAATCTTAACCCTCGCGGGGTGTATAGGTGAGTGTAGCTGCGGGGACCGTAGCTTCTAGGCCTGATTTTTATCTTTTATAGTCATCGGTTCATATTTTTTTTCCAATTTTTCAAACCCCCATGCGGCGCGAAGCGCCGCCGGGGTTTGATCTGTAAACACTTTGTCCACTTCCGGTGCCTCCCCATGCGTGAAAGCCTTCTGGGAAATTAAGGCCGCATAAGATCTACAAAATTATGATAGTAAAGCCCATACGATATCCGTATTTATTACATTTTACTAGAGAGATATAATTAATTCTTATTCTAAGAAAAACATATCTTCAATACAGTGAAGATTAACGAAAAGTTGTATCTTCATATGTGAAAAAATAGCTCTTAGTACTGTCAAATCAAAACGGTACATAATATTCACTGCGTATATTTTCTGTTTCAACTTTAGATGAAGCGACAGCAGAATAAATGGTTTTGTGGTTCCACCTTGCACAATACATTATGGTATTTACATAACTACACAACTTATATAATTTTATATATTATTTTCGTTTGGAAATCTGACCAGATAATAGCAGCAAACGACAAAAATGCATTGAGAAACCCTTTCAAAATGGCGCTCTGTGTTGGTGTCAAGCGTGACGTCATTAGAACCGAGGGTCAAAAAATTACGCTACAAATTCCCGCGCTTTTCTAATGCAGCAATATTTGCGTAGCGTGACATGAATCTAAAATTTAATTGTTTTCCCGTTGAATACTATATATACATTTCACTCATATAAAACGGGTATGTGTTTACAGAAGACGGTTAATATTCTATCCAAGGTCCATGTACATTGTCAAAGGAATTTGTAAAAATTGCGACAGGCATAAATGATATTTTATGTAAATCATGTAAATCTCTCTCTCAGAAGATGACGTTATTACCAAGTCGTTGACATTTAAATGTGCAGTTAAAATGTACATTTGCGTGCTTTGGGACAATTCTGAACGACAAAGTTAATGCCATTAACAAATATATTTGAAGAAAGTATGCAGGATCAGTTCCTTCATCTTCATCTTCATTTTTAACCTTTCTCCGTCAACATTGACGATTACGAAATGGTGGTCTTGTGCTGTAGTTCGTTGTTACATCTATGTACAGTGATTGTTTTTATAATTTGCTATAGGATAAAAACAGGTTAAAAGCAGTGAGTGAGTGTTAGTTATGTTGTAGGTTTTGTATATGTTTGTTTGTGTTATATGTGGTGCATGTCCTGAAATCTGTTAGTGTTTCTAATTGGATTATTGTTTTGTGTAGGAGGTTCCACTGTGTTATGTTGATGGAAATAATGTGGTTGTTGCTATATACTATACTATACTATATACTAGTATATATAAATTTGAGGTCCAGCAGCTTTGCGGCTGCATTTTCTTGTTATTGTTAAAAACAAAAAATAAAAAGATCGGGCCTAGAAACTACGGTTCCCGCAGCTAGGTAATCTGACGCTCTCTGCAGAGCCTCCATGTTAGGGAAAAAACACACCCGAGGGTTGGGATTTGTTTTGTTATCTAGGCCGAGGCTATTGGCAGGGCCTCGATTTCTTTTGTTTTATTCCTACACCAATGTTTGTCGTAGAAATACATTTGTAGCTCTACGTACTGAGCTTAAGTTTCTGGAATTCGGCGCAAAATAAATGTTCTAGTATCTTGTAGCTTCTGAAACTGGCAAATTATTTTCATACAAGCTAGATGCCCAAGACCAGAAATGCTTGACTGGTTTTTCATACCACGCACAGAAAAGGCACTCCACAGACTACTTAAACAAATAAGTACATATTTACGATTTCTTTTCTCACTCAAATCGGTCTATGCCTTACATTAATGTAAATAGATTTCTAGGTTTACAGTTTGATACAAATTGAAATTCTTTTGTAGAATACATATGTCCAAGAGGAATGTTAATTTACCTAGGATGGCGCAGTCACTACTGTGAAATAATTTTGTCTTATTATTAGTTAGGCTGTCATTTCCTGACAAAGGGACAGCCACTGTATCTTACCTGAGTGTACTTACTGATTTACCTGAGTATCTACTGGACAGGCTATGGGCTGGATTATAAATCATTATTGCATTATAAATTGTTATCAGGATTTTTTTTAAACATATAATACGCTGATTTGGCTAAACCATACTGATCACAAGAGTTCACTTTTAAAAAGTGTTCAATTAAATTTAAAGTGCTTCTTGATCAAATAGTAATATACGCAAATTGCTTTGTAATGGACAGTTTTCTAGAATACTTGCATTTAAAGAATTATTCTGTATCGCCAACTTTGGATTTGTCAACAGCAAATATAGTATTTACTTGACATTTGCCAGTGGATTATATACATTTGTATGCTACGATGATTTCTTATAGTTATAAAGTCATGTTAATACATTGAATCACTATATAATATGCTTCTTTCTTTAGATATTGGCATAACTAATTTTGGTGAAGTGTACGACAAATAGAAATACACTGTACGGCGAATACGAATTTAGTATACACTTTGCCTAAATGTGATACGGATTTTTGCGGGCTGATACGGAGAGGGCTGATACGGGTTTTGGGTTGTAATACGGCGAGGGCTGATATGGGTTAGAGCAATTGTGTCGTATCGCATATACAAAAATCCGTATTTATTAGTAAGTATGTAATAATTAGAGGTTATTATATGACCATTTTGATATCATATCCCTTATCAGCCCGAGAGTCCCGATATCAGCCCGAGGGCTGATATCGGGACCGAGGGCTGATAAGGGATATGATATCAAAATGTTCATATTATAAACTTTTTATCATATGTTCAAGTAACAAAAAATCAAGTCAACAGGAAAAACAATTAGATAATTTAATCAACAATGTCAACTGAAACAGATTATTACAAGATGATATTCAGTCAATTCTGAATAAATATCGTTTCAAATCGCTGCTGTCAGTAATTATTAGTCCAAGTGTTCAAGTCTAGACGCTAGAGAATTAAGTATTTCCTCTCCCTGGTTTGTTGGCAATTTGTTTGTTGACGTCTGCCCAACACACTGTCTAAGCAAAAGAAAAACTGACAGCGCAAATCCGGATTTTACTCGGAACGCTTCGGGCGCTTCCCATATCCAATACAGAAGTAGAGGTGTTCCAAACGGGGGGTGAATTACGAGAATTGTTATCGCATGGGGGGTGCATTACGAGAAACTTATCACACGGGTGAGCGGAAGTGGTATCAGGAGTGGTCAGAAGTTATCAAATATGCAAAAACACTCATATTCTGAGTAAACATATGATAAATAGAGAATAATACATGCCTTTTTCCATATCACACCCAATATCAACCCGAGACTCCAATATCAGCCCGATATATATAAACACCTTATATTATGCTTTACTTTTTTTACTGTACACGTTACATTTTGCTATCATGTGTTTTTTCAACTTGCATTATGCTTTAATATGTTATTATAAACCGTATATTATGGTATAATATTTTACTGTACACGTCACAACTAAAGTTCCAACTCTCCACCCCTATTGTCAAGGTCACAGCTTAAGTTGTGTTATAGCATGTAGCAAATGGGTAATCCTTATAATTATTTGACTCGACATTCATAACACTTTCGACATTCTTTACCTCCCCTTCCCTTACGATATCATTCAAAAGTGTTGTTACAAAGCAACATCATAGGTATGTTACTCGAATGGTATAACAACATAAAAACATAGCTAGTACAAATGCTCGCTCTAAACATGGTTATGTAAGTATAGCTATTCGCCGTACTGTAACATGATAATTGCTGTACACTTGACAATGTATCAACATTTATTCGCCAAACACAGACGAAAAAACATCTAAGTCAATAACATGGTAGTGACTACATTTAGACATATATATTATATGTTTTTCCCGATCTCATCTACATATGCCAGTGACGTCCGTTTTATCATCGTATATGTCATACTTTCTTTCTTTGTAAATGATTTTGTACCGATACTTTGTAGTCACTTTTTACCAATATCTTACGATCGCATGAAATAGTTTACAAAGCATCTGCATCACATACATCATTGGTCATTGTTTAATTGTTGTGCTCCTTTTTTGCCTCTTAGATATCAGAAAATTCCAGAACAATCGGAAAACTTACCGGGACTTGACTGCGCCCAGCGTCCATGCCCCGCTTCGGTACTAGCTATATCCGGTGTCAGTCATACACAGTGCTTTTGGCAAGTTCCTTAATTGCTAATTTCATATTCAAGTGTTCTCCTACCCATATACCTAAATACTTCTATTTTTCACTGCGGGGGTGAATGGGCAACCGTTGGAAGTAAAATTGAAGTCAGTAGCCGGATATAGGAACAGACCGGAGTGTACAACAATGATTTT